CCTTTAACTATATTCCACTGATCCCTGTCGAACAGATCCGTTACCTAGGTCTCCTTCTTGACAAACGCCTTACCTGGAATCCTCATACTAGACTTAAAAGACAAGAAACTGCCAACAGATTCCAACCACTACAATAAACGCCCTAACCTTCCAATATTCTACAAAAAAACTCATTTTCACTAACATCATCAGACCCATTTGGACATACGGTATTGAGCTTTGGGGCTCTACAAAAACATCATATTCTTCCCGTATCCAATGCTTAAGGGGACCCTACACGGTCAATCGGAATTGCACTAATGACAAGGTAGTGAATGACTAATTAATAAGGTAGTGAATGAAGTACTGATGGTGGTGCGCTGCGAATTTCCGAACATCCGGAAATCAAAGGTTCATTCACGAGAAGTGGAGGGGGGGGGCTGAGGTAAAAGTAGTGGGGAGACTAACCATACTACTGGATAGGTTAGGTTACCCAGGCCTCACAACCATTATAAATTTCTGATTTTCATTATATGTAAATAGTTAACTAATTTTTCATATCCCTTGTTTATATTTTTAAACCATCTTCAACTATTTCTTTTAAATAGTCAAGTGGGCAACAAATTAAAAAAAAAAGAGGAAACTTCTCAATTTACTTTAGAAAAAAAAAACTGTAACGTTGTGTATATTTATCAGTTCTTTTCCCATTTTCCTCAACAAATTTATTATTTTTGCCATACCTTTCCTTAATTTTTGTAAATAGTAGACTGATATTTTACTAACTTTTGTCAAAACGATTTTCTATGAGACTAACCTTACTACTAGATAGGTTAGTTTACCTAGGTCTCGTTATTAAGTAAATAGTTGTTTATATCCCTAGGCTATATTATTATTAACCATTCTCAACTATTTTTTCATTAAATAATCAAGTAGGCAATAAATTGAAGAGAAAAAAAGTGGAAACTTCACAATTTACTTATAGAAAAAAAAATCTTTAACTGTTGTGTTTATATGCCATTAATTTTTCCATTTTTCTTAACAAATTGATTATTTTCGCAATACTTTTCCTAGATTTTTGTATGTAGTTGGCTTATATTTTTCCAACTTTGGTTTAAACGATTTTCAGGCACTAGGAAGTAATTATTATATCTCCGTTTTTCTCTTGATGCCCAATATTATAAATGGCAATGTCCAAATAAGCATATCTATGCTGTTTCTTTGTTTACAACTGAACTAAATTGGTATCAGCAACGATAAGTAATGATCAGTAATGATTGAACGTGTAAGGGTCTTCATGATCAAAGCTATCGCGGGCAATCTTGGCACTTCTTGTGACGTTCATTCATGAATTACCGTGTAGGGTCCCCTTTACAATCCAAAATCCTCCGTAAAATCCTAAATGCTCCTTATTATGCAACAAATAAAATTATCCATAAAGACCTCAACATTCCTCTTGTGAAAGACTTGGCTCGAACTAGATATACCTCTTTTCATTCCAAACTCTTTGGTCATCCCAATCCTCTAGTTTGTAACCTTTCATCCAACACAATTCCTAACAACCGTCCGAGGCGTCTGAAAAGAAGTTGGCCAAGGGACCTCTTAAAGTAATTTATCTTTGAAGTGTTACCAATGTACTTCTTCACAAGTACCTTCATGTGATATATTCCTATATCAAATTTACTTGTATATTTGTTTACTGTTGTAAATCTCAATAAAATGATAATAAAAATAAATAAATATTACAAAATTTACTAAAAATACAACAAAATCGGTCCGATTGAGAAATAGTTTGTATCAATTTTTACATTTCTCAGATGAGTTTAGCATAAAATCTGACCAAATATCTGCATGGATTCTACCAATCAGACAATCTTAAAATTTGAAAAAAATTACATTATAAGCAGCTAGTGTTGTCCAAATGCAAGACCAAGACTCGTCTTGCTATAAATAGCTGATTGCTATTTATTTAGACATGTCACTTTATATCTTACAAAAAAGTTACACAATAGGTACTTTCTGATTTTTTATTAACATGAACACAGTAAAGTCCTATCAAATTAATAAAATTAACTTGACAATACATTAAAGGAATTGTCAAGAAAGATAGTGATAGGGCCTTTGAATAGAAGAGTTGTACAGTAAAGACAATCTATTCAATGTCACCGATTATTTATATAAAAAAATGTCCACCATTGTTGGTATGTCCACCAAGAATTATGATTCATCTCAGAAACGTTACATTTTAGGACTTAAATCCATCTTGTATCTTCTCATTTTTATCAATGGCTTTTATTGTACTTTTAGTAACGTTCCAAGTTTTGAAATTACGATTCATCAATTCTCCATTAAATTCCCTTTTGATACATCATTTCTTGATAACACGGATTATATTTCGGTGATAACATTACAATGCACTTAAGAAAAATAAAATATCGATTCCATTGAACAGTTAAAAATCAATATATTCCATCGGTGTTATTTTATAGGAGTCCAAAAGATAAGGAATGGAGATATCACATTACTAACTCTTTATTGACAATAAAATCTTGATTCAGTCAGGAATTAGTCATTGATATATTGGATACACCGAGCCATTTGACACTGTTTCCATTCATAAACTAAACATGAATAGGAATCGAGTCCCATTCATGAGAAAGATCTATTTTTTGTCTTCGTATTCAAGATCTTTTATTACCCGACGATTGTCCTCTAAAAGCTATCTAACGATTTATTTAGAGCGAATGGCTAGATCGATTTATAAGTTTGATGACTAATCACCTTTACCCTTGGCCGTAAACCTATGACCTCCTGTCCTACAATATCCTTTAATAATACTCTAATTATCCCTGTTCAACAAATTTGATGCCTTGGACTCCGTCTAACTTGGAATCCTCATACCAGAAAGAAAATCGCTCTACGTTTCCGACTACTCCAGCACTTATTAGACAAACGCTCTAAGCTTCTAGTTAATTACAAAAGACTCATATACATGCCTACAATAAGATATATTTGGACTTACGGAGTTGAACTTTGGGGCTCCACTAAGCCATCGAATTCCTCTCGTATCCAATCCTTACAATCCAAAATCCTTCGTAAAATCCTCAATGCTCCCTACTTTGTCACAAATAAAATCATCCACAATGACCTTAATGTTCCTTATGTTTCCGACTTCTCCCAATCCAGATATCTATCTTTCCATAATAAACTAGAACCATCCGAATCCTTGCTTCCCTTCCTCGATTTCATGTTATTATTTTCTGTTATGAAATTTACTAAATGTATTTTATTTATTAGTACAGTTGTAAATTTCATAAATAAATAAAAAAAAATTTTTTTGATGACTCATATTATTTGAGTGAGATCACATGAGTGTTTTGAACCAATTTGAGCTCAAAACACAGACCCGTGATTGAATAAAATGAGTTTAATCAACTTGCTAAAAGATATGTAACGATTTTTCGAGCGAATGGCTGACCAATTTTCAAAGTTGATATTTTATTGTATCTTATTTAACTGAAAGCTCTTAGGAGTGGTTAATATCAAGAAACATCATCTTAAAAAAAAACAACGTCATATTGTTGTAGTATTGATGGGTAATGAAAATAAAAACATTTCTTCGCATTTGATGGAAAAGATAATCTTCAAAATGGTGGCTCGATCATTGGATTGATAATAGCTATTTTTTTCTTTATGTTCTTCCATAACTTGCCTTTTAGGCTATACGGGGTTTTCCCGGGCCGGTGGATGAGGGTGGGGAATTAAAAATCCCCTCCGGTGCCGGGACGGGAACTCTTACATTTTTTAATCCCTCATAACTTAATTTTTATTTATTGTACATAGATTGTGAATGTAATCTCTGAACTTTGCATATGGATTAAAATATCTCAGAAACTAAAAGTCAGACCTACGTACCATAAGCGAGGGAAATGTTCAGTATTTTATCACGTTTATAATGAGCTATTATTTATAATTTTTTATTATTGAAATTTACAACTGTATTAAATGATAAATGCAAAAAGTAAATATGAATCAAGTAACATGACATGTACAACATGAACAGAAACTACCGATTGATAGCACTCCAATTATATTTCTATATTAGCAGGTCCCGACGCCATCTTCTTTTCAGACCCCTCGGAGGGTTATCAGGAATAGAAGAGGACGCAAAGTTGGAAACGAGAGGGTTCGGATAGTTCAGAAGTTTACTATGGAAGGCTAGGTATCTGGATTGAGCTAAATCAGAAACATATGGTACATTAAGGTCTTATGGATGATTTTATTTTAGACAAAGTAGGGAGCATTGAGGATTTTACGAAGGATTTTGAATTGTAGGGATTGGATACGAGAGGAATTTGATGGTTTAGTAGAGCCCCAAAGCTCGATCCCATAAGTCCTAAATGGCCTTATTATAGTAATATATACGAGTCTTAAAATAGTTCGAAGTTTAGAGCGTTTGTCTAGTAAGTGCTGCAGTTTCTAGTAGTGTTTCCCAAATGCGATTCAATGATGAGTCTTGGTCATGGTCTTGGTCTATCACAAGAATCTCGCAACAGTCTTGGAGCTACTTATTAGCTTATTACTATATTACTGTATTTTTTAGATTGGAGAAACCTAACTGAGCTCGAATGAAAAATTAGAAGAGTTAAATGCAAAAGTCTATTGGCTATACCAATTATTAACCTATTGTAACTAAGATTGTCAAGTATTAGTTTGGATACTATTTGGCATAGTTTTTATTTAAAAAATCGATTTTTTTTACCAGACCTGGTCTTGGTCTTGCAACATTTAGGCGCCCATGGTCTTGGTCTTACTAAGTGCAAGACCAAGACCAATTTTTTGCAACACTAGTTTCTATTTATTATTTATATTTCATATTATTAATCCCGCCTTGTTGACATTTTAACTTATATCGTGTAGTCTAAAGCACACACCTTAGTTTTTTAAAAATTTATTTTTGGGGAATTTTGCAAAAACATTGTCGGTTTTATGCATGACAGACCAGAGCTATGAACAATGTAAAATTAAAGGTGACCAATCTTCGTTGCTTTATTACTCAATCGAATTCCGAGAGGAGGGCGTGCGTGGGCCGGATTGTGATTGAGCCGGATTATAAAGATGAAGAGATAGAGGTAACCTTGCCGGAGTATAGCCAGCGGACCGTACTCACCCACTGTTAGAGCTGGGTAATTTCTCGGTCCAGGGGAACGGAAAGCGTGAAGGCGACTTGTGACTTGGTTCATCCAACTTGTGGGAACATCTCCAGCTACAGTCTTCATTAATATGGATCTTTCCACTCTATTGAAGGAAAACATTTCCTTCTTATTAAAACAAGTTGGGTTCTCGAGCGTGCATTACATCTCGAGGAATCTCAAGCGTGGATAGTATTAAAAGTGATTTTTTTACAAAATATATTTATTGAAATTTACCACTCCATTACATGACAAATACATGCAAAAAAAAAAAAAGCAAATTAAAAAAATATTGATATGCGTAGACCTGTGTGTAAGTAATGTTTTTGTCGCTAACGTATCAGAGTGAACTTGTGATCACAATAAAGATTTTCATAATGATGTAGAGATGGTTGACCGTTGATATAATATATGAAGGAGTTAGTCGAGAGTGCGGTCAAATAAATAATAAATTAAAATATATTAATTATTTTAATTTTTGCCGACGTTTCGACCCCCACTTTGCAGGTCGTCTTCAGGGCTACAAAAGATACAAAACATGTTGAAAATAAAAAATAAATATAAGTATATATAAAATAAGAAGAAGTTGTCAGATACAGAAATAAAAGATGGTATCAGAGATATAGTGGGTGACAATGTAGTTAAATATTAAGAATTATATATGTAGAAGATACAAATAAATAGAAAATAAGTAGGAATAAAAATAAAGGAGAATATAGCATGTAAGTTAAAAGAAAACAGATTGCGATAAAAGATAAGGAATAAGTGTATAACAAACTAATAGAGATTACATTAGATAACTGTGGTTTAACAGATAAATAAAATGAATGTTAACGAATAAATAGATTGAAAATTGAATAAGTAATGGTACAGTAAAGTTAAAATAAGAATAAGATAAGTTAATAATAAGATATCAGTGGATAACAAGCAAGTGGAGGTTACCTTTAATTGTAAATAAACAGATAACCTCCACTTGCTTGTTATCCACTGATATCTTATTATTATGTTATCTTATTCTTATTTTAACTTTACTGTAACATTACTTATTCAATTTTCAATCTATTTATTAGTTAACATTCATTTTATTTATCTGTTAAACCTATAGTTATCTCATGTAATCTCTATCTGTGTATATCACTTATTCCTTATCTTTTATCGCAATCTGTTTACTTTTAACTTAAATGCTATGTTCTCCTTTATTTTTATTTTTATTCATACTTATTTTCCATTTATTTGTATCTTCTACATATATAATTCTTAATATTTAACTACATTGTCACCCACTATATCTCTGATACCATGTTTTATTTCTGTATCTGACAACTTCTTCTTATTTTATATATACTTATATTTATTTTTTATTTTCAACATGTTTTGTATCTTTGTAGCCCTGAAGACGACCTGGAAAGTGGGTCGAAACGTCGGCAAAAATTAAAATAATTAATATATTTTAATTTATTATTTATTTGTCCGCACCCTCGACTAACTCCTTCTCATATAAAGATTTTCGATTGGAAAATTTTGTATTTATTGGAGTCTTTTTCGCAATTTTCTGAGGCGAGGATTTAGGAGGTTTTTCATTTTTTTTTTATTTAACGTCTCTGTCGTTGGCTATGATGCTATTCGGTCGGCAAAAGGTCAGGTAGTTCAAATTTATTTTTTATATTGTTAGGTATGAAGTGAATTTTAAAAAATCAAGTTTTCACCCTTGATAACCTTGTGGGTTCGCTAAAGTTCTCCAATAATCATTGAAATTTCGACTTTTTTTTTGGTTTATGCTAAATATCTCCTTTTTAGAGATAAAACATAGATAAAAAATTGTTATATACAATTTTAAACAATATAAAATTATCTAACATTTTTGTACGTAACATATTTTTCTAAACTCAACAGGAAGTGAACTATTGATATTTCAAAATGGCTAAAATTTTGTAAATCCACAAAAAGCATGCATAATTTAAAAAAAAATTATTATTGGTTTTTATAGGTGACGTAGCTGAAATTTATATATATATTTATTGAAATTTACAACTGTATTACATGACAAATACAACAAGTAATAAAAAAAAAAAAATTGATATGCGTAGTCCTGTGAGTAATATTTTGTTGCTAACGTATCAGCGTGAACTTGAGATCAGTACTAGTATTTTCGATTGGAAAGTTTGTGTTAATTGGAGTATTTTTCGATGTGCCACAATTTTCTGAGTCGTAGTATTGTTCCAAATTTGAGCCAAATCGAATGAGCGGTTTTTGAGATATAGAAGTATCAAGGAAAACGCGTTTGCACATTTAGTAGAAAACAGAATTCAATAAAATTGATACAGAATAATTATTTTACCAAAACCCATATTTTTTTTTCAACTTTGATCCAAATCGAACCAACTGTTTCTGAAATATTGGCACATCTAAAAAAATACATTTACGTTTGCGCAAGCGGAAGTGCTAGATGGAATTTGATAAAATTTGTATGTGACCATTTAGGCACCTATCCGCACAATCACTGAAAAATTCACGAAAATCGGAAAAACGATAGTAGGTGATATACCCGTCACATCGTTTGACTACAGACAGACAGACGCCGAACCAAATTTGCTCCTTGATGTCTGATGATTCTGAGCACAATTTTTTTTTAACCGCGAGTATGAATATAATACTTCTCTAACTTTGGGAGTGAGGAAGCAATATTTAAAATAACTTTTCTAAATAATTAATGTATTGAAAATCTCTATTTCCCCAAGTTTATGCTGTCAAAGTATGTTAGTAAATTTTAATATAATAACTAATTATAATATTAATAACTAGCAGGCCCGTGCGAAAAATTCGCACAGAATATTGTTATCAAATGCCAGATTAATACAAAAATAAAATAATGCAACGTATCAAAAGATGAAGAAATCAAATGTTACTTTATCGATAAATATAATCGACAAAGAAAACAAAAATTAATTTAAATAACTTTTGTTTGGAACCAACATGTTTACAAATTTCAATAAGCTTTATCTTTGCTAAAAATTGTCCAATTTCAATGATTATTTTTCCTTTTGTACCGAATTTAGTAATCTTCAATATAATCACGGGCATAACCCTGGGAAAAGTGTGTAATTGTTTAGTTATTAACAAATAAAGTTTATTTTCTTTCATAACTTGTTTGCCTGAATTTTCGGGGTGATTGGACTATTTTACCCGCCTGAAGGGGAAGGAAGCCTTCGAAATTGGTGGCTACACCTTGAGATTTGGGGAAAAACTGACGATGATATGGCTTGCCGATCAAAAACACTATCCATAAATAATATAAACTCCTCCTCTCTCGATCATAGAGACCTCAAGTCGACGAAATGAGACTTGTATCTAATGCCAGTACTACAATTAACGTCAGGTTGTGTGGATGCGAACCCCATGCCTTGTGTTATCTCGAAAATGGTACATTTTTGGGCTTAAAAACGCAGGATCCGATAGTTCCGGAGGAACTATCCGGGTCTTGCTGTACGCATCAAAATCCTCAAGATCCAATTTGTTCCGTATCGATCTACAGACCTACCACCGTTCAGGTATTGAAGCCTAGCAAAATGTTTGTATCGACTTTATTTATTTTAGAAAGAAAAACAAAAGTGGAGAATACGATTCGCTAACCCCCCGTGAAATTCTAAATCCAATGGTACCCCATTCATGGTATTTGAGCCTGACAGGAGCTTATATTTGGTACAAAACCGATTTCGAGCCTTACTGTAACAATATATGTACGGATTTTTGTCAGATGTATTGAACTCATTTTTTTTTAATGCTGTTCCAAGAGAACTATTTGATTGATTTTTTTGGGGGGGGGGGAGAGGAAGACAATTGTGAAATTGTGCGTCTTAAGTCTGTTGCTGGAGAAGCACTTTGTGCCCTCAAATTGAGACCCAGAAGAGGTCCTCGCGTATGACCCTTAGGACTCGAGAGCCGTGAAGTGGCTCTCAGACGGAGAAGGGGCTGTTAGAGCTGCTTTGGTTCAATTAGCGGTGACGCGATAACCGTTACCGCTGACGTCACGGTTACACAAGCGGTATGTACGTGACAGGGAACACACAGCCTCCTGAATCCTTAATGCCTAGGCCGAAGTCGGTTATTCGGTTATTGTTACTGTCATCTTTTAGGAACTGTCTTCATGTCGAGTTTTTAGTGGATTATGTTTTATTTGTAAATATATTAATATTAAATTATAATCGCTTCTTTCTGAAGTGAAACCTATTCGATATTTACGGAAATTGAGACAAGTATCGATTCTCATGAAAAACACCCAATGAATTTGATGGGGATTTTTTTTTTTTTTTTCCAAAAGCGATCCTAAATATTAACCTAAGGGTTTTAAAAATGATTTTATTTTCGAAACCAGACTATTACCACAGGAATAATCTTTGATTTTCGGAAATACTTTCTATAAATAAAGAATTCCTTAATCTATTTTTAAAATTTTGGATGTGATATTATAATTGGAATGGAAAATAAATTATTAATAATTAGATAGATAAATAAAATAAACTTCTCCTGAGTTCTTCTTTAAATGGTTAGTGAAAGACCTCGACCTGGCCGTCCCCGCATTGTGAGAACGGCAAATGCAGTGAGAGCCAGTGGCTGCTCGAATCAGAAGAAATCCCATTCAAAAACAACAAATCATGTCTCGGGAAATGGAAATCTCTGTCAGATCAATGTCTCGCATAATAAAAAGTGACCTTAGGGTGGCTCCATTTCGAAGAATGGTAGGACAAATGCTAACCACTTGTCTAAAAAAAGTAGAGTGAATATCTATTCATTGCAAAGTGCTGCTTGGTCATTACACCAATGGTCTTCATCGAAAGATATTTTTAGCGATGAGAAAATTTTCGTGTGTTCGCAAACGTTTCGAAAGAAGCCCAGGAAGTCATTGGCTAAGAGGAAAGAGGTCATCACCCTTCCTCAGTGTGTTGGTTTAATGGGGAGTTTGCTTTGATGACACGACAAAACTCAATTTTTGTGGAAAAGGAGTTAAAACAGCCGCTAAAAACCATCAGGACGATATTTTGAAACCTCTAAATGATACTCTCATTTGGCCCTCAGGAAGCCCTGATCTC